CCCCCCCCCCCCCCCCAATCACAAATTAAATAACACAAAATAATAGTCTCAAAAGCTTTAGATTTATTCACTACCATAATAACAACCATAATAAGATGTAAAGTAGTTATTAATAATAATAATAATGATGATGATGATGATGATAATTGTCCTGTGATGCATTCAGGGTGTTTCCCTGCTTACGGGATGCTAGGATAGGCTTTAGTTTCCCTGTGGCCTTACACAGGTCTAGCAATCTGAAAAAAAGCATGGATAAATAATAATAATAATAATAATAATAATAATAATAATAAGCTGTACAATCGTAAAATTTTATATTTTTTAAAAAATGCATTAATAATTATTATTAAAAAATATATTATTATTTATTTATCCACCACAAAATGTATTTTACTGTTTAATACTGCACAGAAATCTAAATTGCATAATTTCTAAAAAAAAAATCAAAATAAAAAATAAAAAAAATAGTTGAATAGTAATATGAAATTTGAGAATGTGAAAATTTTAATAAAATTAAATTATAAATTAAATTATAAATAAAAATCCTACTTTAAAAAATAAACTGTCATTATGACAACAGCACCCTTTTCACTTACATTTTTATTTATTTTGTTGTATTTATGCACTGTAATAAAGCTGTTTATATATAAACAGTTACACTGATGTATGTCTGTTTTAGGGTGGAAACATTTGCGGTTGGTTCTTATAGCTGACCACACAATAAGTGAGAGAAAGAGAGCGAGTGGTTAACAAACACAAACAGGAAACCATTTTGACATCCTGCTAAACTACACTTTGTTACACCGAGGATGCACATTTTACCCATGTAATGTTTGATTAGGTTTGTTTTTTAAGCCCCTTCTGTGACAAACAAAGTATTTCTGATTCAGGGTTACAAAAAGACACTGGGATCTGCAGTTGCTGTTAATCACTTTTTTGTCTCATATTTGAAGACGTCTGCATCATTTTATTTATTTATTTATTTTTTAAAAACAATTTTTTCTATTTTATCACAAAAATAACATTCACAACCAGTAAATGTGCAAATAACATTTAAAAGTAAAACTAGAGACCATACAAAATCTATTTTATTATTATGAATATTTTGTGTATTATAGATGACTAAATATGTAAATGTGTAATAATTGCATATAAAAATGTGTTGGATGTGTGTGCATATGTACTAAATGTAGATAAATGATGCTTGAGAAAAAAAGTGAGAAATCACATCTGGCATTGCTGAGTAAAAAAGAGTGAGCAATAGTAAGCAGCAAGTTTGCAGTAAGTTGTATTAATTGAGCAGGCAGAATCACATCTTGGCATAGGGATGTGCAGATGTCAGTCTATAAGAGACTTCAGTGTGGAGGCAGATCTTTCCAGTCGTACTCATTGGAATTTTTTAAAAACAATTACATTTCTATTTTATCACAAAAATAACATTCACAACCAGTAAATGTGCAAATAACATTTAAAAGTAAAACTAGAGACCATACAAAATCTATTTTATTATTATGAATATTTTGTGTATTATAGATAACTAAATATGTAAATGTGTAATAATTGCATATAAAAATGTGTTGGATGTGTGTGCATATGTACTAAATGTAGATAAATGATGCTTGAGAAAAAAAGTGAGAAATCACATCTGGCATTGCTGAGTAAAAAAGAGTGAGCAATAGTAAGCAGCAAGTTTGCAGTAAGTTGTATTAATTGAGCAGGCAGAATCACATCTTGGCATAGGGATGTGCAGATGTCAGTCTATAAGAGACTTCAGTGTGGAGGCAGATCTTTCCAGTCGTACTCATTGGATCGCCCTGAAATGAATAGGAGATCAACATGATACAAACTAAACTATTGTCTTTGACATGACAAAGCTTAAAAATTTCCTGAAACCAATTATCAATCTTGATACCTTAATAACATCTGCTGCAAGTATCTCTGCAGAACCTAAAGATGGTATGAAAATATGTAAGTAAAATAAGTACAGTGAGAAAATAATGCAGGTCTGAACACAGGAACTTAAGTGCACAAGTGCTTTTAAATACAGCAAAATATCAATACCATCTAAACACATAAATATTACTGTATAATTGTAATACAGCTTTCCTCATCATTTTTTATTGTGTTAGATTATAAAAAACATCAAGTGTGTGAAACATCTTTCATTTCAAAATCAGTTTCAGACACCCTCCGAAAAAAAAGGTACAATGCTGTCAATGTAGCAGTACCTCTGAAAAAAATCCGGTACGCCTCTGTACCTTATTTACCCCTAAAAAGTGCATATTAGTACCTTAAAAGTACATATTAGTACTAAAATGGTACATTTTTATACTTTTAGAAAAAGTTCCGCACCAATAACAGCTTTTGTACCTTTTATTTCTGAGAGTGCATTAGAGCAGATAAAGTTGTGTTAACAAAGTGTAACCACTTTAATTCAAATTCACATGAATGTGAATTCAACAAAATTATGACTGGCCAGATTATTTTTTTGATGCAACACTGACATCTGTCAAATGAAATGAGCAAAATAATTTTATTCCACACAAAAAATAACAGCATTTTTAAATCGCTAGCTTTAAACACATTATACTATTATACACATTTATCATTTGTTTGCAGCTTTGATTTCTGACCAAAGACTGGCCAAAAGCATAATGTTTTATATTGGAAAAGGTTTTAAGGAAATGAACGGCAAATGAGATACCTGTGGTTTGAGCCAAACAGTAGCAGTACACACAGATGGAGGAGAGGAGAACACACACGGGACACACACTGAACAGCAGCGTCCAGCAGAGCACACAGTCTGATACAGGAGGTGGTATGGAGGTGGTATTCAAGGGTCCAGAACAGGAAGATACTTGCTCAACTAAACATAAACAAAATATATTGTTTTTATTCTGTTTGTCTTTTTTCTTCGCTGAGAAAGGAAAAGTTCCCCAGAATTACACAATCAATGATATAATAACTGTCAGAAGTGTTTTCTTACCTTTCAGAGAGAGACGAGTTGTTTGGTTTCCATAATAGTACACTTCTGATGAGGAGATGATGCCTTTTGCATCTTTCGTCATATTATTCTCTAGTTTTGCACAGTAGTACAGTCCCAGATCAGAGACACTGATGTTAGTAATATGTAGATCATAGGATTTACTGTAGGGGTTGTAGATAAAGCTGAATCGCTGAAATATCTCCAGGTACAGTTTCCTAAAATCTATAATGAGAGAGGGTTGATTTTCATGAGAGCAGTTTCTTATCCATACAACGACAGAACCAAGAGTTAGAGAGCGATCACAGTAGAGAGTGATGTTGTCTCCTGGTCTGACTTTCATCTCCATTTCTTCTCCATTGATTCTTTTCTGACAGAAAAGTAAGACATCTGTAAAAGCACAAAATAATTTTATGAAGCACTTCAAATTGTACGATTATACCAAAATATTCACAGTAGTGACATTTTTATTTAGCTAAAGAAGTATATGTTTTCTTACACATGAGCGCGATGAGAGCGAGTCTTGTCCTCTCCATCTCAGTGAGTGATTGTGCGTGTGACACTGACACTGGTGAGGGTCTTAATGCAGATGTCAACTTTTATCTGATTGGTTCACGTCAATGGAAAGTTTTACCTAAAGCGGTCTGCGTCATGAGGGGTTGGCAGTAAATTGAGTTGTTTGGAAGTAAAAAAAGTTACCTTATAGACTTTTTTTTTTCTGATTTGGCTTTGTGATCAGGCACCTGATTGGTTCATAAAAATGGAACTGTTCATGATAACTTTTGTTTATCTGATAGATATGTTTAACTATATATTTGATTCAGACATGAAGATAAGGCATCCTTATTTGAGACAATTTGCAGTTTACATTTCAAATTCAATTAGTCAATGCATGCCTCTCATGAGTTTTTGAATCAAAGTTCACCTATAAAATTCATATGGTTCTTTGTATAATTGTAATGGGTTCAATTCAACATCTAAACATGTCAAAACAGGAAACCCACAAGTCTTTCATTCAGACCACTTACAAACACTTCACATTTGCAACTCGTCATGAAACTCTCACTTCACATCTCTTAGTTGATCATAGGTCAAGCACAAATGTTTCCATTAGCCTTTGTGTGGTTTTGTGTTTTGGTTGAAGTGCACATATTTGCACAAGAGACGTTAAAATAACTGCTGCTAATGCTCTGTACTGTTGTTAAACTGACACTGACGGATGTCCACTGAGCTGGAATTAGCTACATTTCATTATGAGACAGTGTAATTTGGCATAACACAACTGAAGATGAATAAATCGTGCCCAACTATAAAGAAAAGTGTAATGTTAGCAAGACTAACGGATCTCATGGGTCAGATAGGTCTATGTGAGTCTAAAAACAACAGGTTCTTTAATATTTAAGGGGAGTGAAAAACCATGCATATGTTTCTGACAGCATTTTCCCCAGTTTAGAAAACCTCATGAACAAACTATTGCTTGCTTAAAATTTACTTTTAAAAAAATCCAAAGATGTTTTTGCAAGATAAATGTTTGCAAATATTTGAAAATAATTAAAAATATTATTCAAAAAGCTGAGCATGATTTGAATAAACATATATATGTGGTATAAATTGTTAAATATTTTTGCAAAGTGCTAATATGGCTTCTCTTAATAGCCTACTTCCTCAACAAACAGGAAGCACAACCACAAATAGGCCAACTTTATGTATCAGAAATGACGCAGATGTCTGTTGTTCGGTGTGTTCAGCACTGTCCTATGTGCTGAATTTCTACTAGGAAAAATGTATTTTTTTTTTATTAATTTGATTAGAGATGACAAGAGAAATATTAAAAATTCTGTCAGTTACTTATCCTTATGTCGCTCCAAACGATTATAAAAATATAAGTAGTTCATATAAGTAGGATGTATTCCATATGGTTTTATACCAAAATATTGTCTTCCCTGCTCTCTTTATTCGAATCTGGTGCACAAAACCGTCTTGTTGTTTGTGGCTCAGTGAGCACGCTTGACACGGAGAAGGCGGCAGGGCTGAAGAAATTTTACACACTCGAGTGTAATGCTGCTTATTTTATTTATTAATTTATTTAATTTTTAAAAATTGGTATGCTTATTTTAAATTGATTTAAATTTGTGTGTATATTTATTTATTTAGCAAATGTATTTATTTATTTATTTATTTAGCAAACTGAGGCAATTAACATAAAGGCAAGATATTAAAGGGGTCATATGATGCGATTTCAAGTTTTCCTTTCTCTTTGGAGTGTTACAAGCTGATTGTGCATAGATAAGATCCCTGAAGTTGCAAAGACTAAAGTCTCAAAACCAAAGAGATATTCTTTATCAGCAGCGAAGACACTGGTTAATAAAATGGGATTAAATACGTAAAGTATATTTAAAATATGTAATTATTGCAGGTTTGCGTCATATCCTGAGTTTGCATTTTACTGTTTTTATTAATTTTGAGGAACAAAGAATCTGTTTTTGTACAGGTAAGATGAGTAAATGCGTGTTCATATTTAGTCTAGAACTACAGTAACATCATCTTCACACAGCGCACACAACGCCTCTGAACTTACCCCCGATTTCTCTCAACATGGGGACAGGAGAGCTATCAGTCAATGGAAACATGGAAATATTTCATAAAGTAACTCAGATATTCCCTTGTAAATTAAAAGGTAATGCTTTACTTTACTAGTGGTTAAAGCTCCGGAATGGACTCAGTCCCACGATGAGAGAAAAATATTGACACTTTCATACCCACATTTAAGTCACTGAACTCCAGGTTACTCAAGAAGACTGTGTAACTCAATTAATGGATTAAATGTATTTGCATCTGCTGAAGTAACAAAGAACTACTTTGATGTAGAACCCCAGCTTTTTGTACATTTAGGGTAATACAGGCTAAGATGTCCCCTGCGGCAAGATTTCACATCAGTGACACATATGACACAATGACCATTACCGCTGACCATTACAAGATAGCAGACACCTCAACATGTCTGGAGCAATCGAATGTGGATTCTAGGTATACATCTCTATGATCATCACTAACTGTACAATATCGCGCAGTCTTGCAGATATGCATATTCACACAACTATAGTTGCAGACACACAGTCAGCTTGCTTTTGAATGTTTATGGACCAGCTTTCACTGTTCCTATATGGTGGATGGCTTGCATATAGCAGCCCACAGAAACAGCCACTATTGAGAAATCTATGTATTTATATCTATGGTGATGACACACAGACAGTTTCAAGATGGGAAGAGTGTCAACAATTGTGTCCCAAACTACACTATGCACTTATTCTATGCACTATGTACTCAACCGCCTAGTGTATGAATTATATAAAGTTATTTTGTCATTCAACATTGGATTCTAATATGTGCCATTCACCATATAGAAAATATTAATTCTGTGAACAAGTGACCGATTTCATACCCAATTAAAGATTGTAAACTGTGGTTTATATGTTTTGATGAAACATTTGTGACGAATTGTACATTAATAAATCACAACAATCCCACATTGTTAAAAATTGCCAGGAATTTACCGGATTAAAGAGTATTATTTTACAATAAATTACCGTATTGAGAAATGTACTGTGAAATCAATGCATGCTGGATCATTTTCTTACAAATGACTGTGAATGAACAGCAGAATGATGCTAACATCACAGTAATATCACAGTAATTTACTGCTCTTCTTTTTACTGTGAATTCACATCATAAAGTTGTTTATAACTGTGCCACTGTGAGAGATTTAGTTGTCACCATAATTGGTGGTTAACGACTAGTATTTGCTTGGGCTCTTTGACCTTGCATTTTCATATAAAAATTTCTGATCTAGTTATGTCAGAAGTGTGACAAATGAAAACATTTGTCAAAATAATGACAAGCTAGAATAGTTGCATGACTTTAAGTTAGTCGAAATATTCTGAACATGAAGATTTTATTTTAGCATTAATTAAACAAGAAAATGTATCGTGTGACGAATTAAAACATTTGTCAAAATGGTGACAAACTAGAATATAAGCTAATGATCTGACTTTAAGTTAGTCAAACTATTCACATACAGATTTTATTTTAGCATTATTTAAGCAGGAAGATTAATCAATATTTTGTTTCATATTCATAACTGTTTGTGGATGGATCTTTCACAAAAGTGAAGCAACTGCTGAAATGCGTCTTTTAAAGATGTGACATCAATACTCGACATACAAAACACAAAAATGCTAACACTCATTAAATAAAAACAACACTTACAACCAGTGTTGGGGGTAACGCATTACAAGTAACGCGAGTTAACCGCATAAACATTTACAGACAAAAAACTAACTCTGTCCTTTCTATTTCTATCTCATGTGCACATAATCAGCAAACTGGATGGAAACATTTGTGGTTAAGATTGTTATCTTTATAACTGAGAATAAGACATGACCTTTCTTTGAAAGAAAACAAAGATAGGAGTGTAAAGCCCTTTTGAAGAGCAACTTAGAGGGTTCAAAAGAAAAACTTAAAATAATGTATTTCTACTTCATTTCACTTTAAAAGTAAAAATGGGCAAAAGGAGAAAGGAATAAGGAGTGTGATTTAGGAAAATTTGATGATGCTTCTTGAAAAAATGAGTCAGATAAATGTTGCGGTCATCCATTCCAGTTGAAAAGAACTATACACAGCTTAAAGGGGTCATGAACTAAGAAACCCAAATTCCCTTGATCTTTTGACATGTAAGAGGTCATTATACTATCAAAAACATCCTGTAAAGGCCAATTCACACCGCACCGACAAACGCCAACAGTCTGTCAGAGTTTGTTGGATCAGTGTGTAAAGCCCTGTTCACACCAAGAACGATAACTATAAAGATAACTATAAAGATAACGATATTAGCGTCCACACCAGCGCTGCTTCCCTATCAGTTTTTAAATCTCTTCTGAAAATCTACCCGTTTTCTTTAGCTTTTAAAACATGATGCTCTTATTTTTGTATTTGTTATTTTCTGTTTTGACTACTTTATACAGCTTTGGTCAGTCCTGTGACTGTTTTTAAATGTGCCTAAAGGCAAATTCAATCTGCACAGACAAACGCCAACAAACACCAACAAACTAGTCTGTTGGAGTTTGTTGGATCAGTGTGTTACCCCTGTTGGCGTTTGTTGGCGTTGGTTGGAGTTTGTTTTCACCCGACTAAACATGCCTAATCGGCGTTTGTTGGGTCATGGAATGTCTGAGCAGAGTGAAATGATTTTCCAACAAACGACAACAAACTCTGACGTGACGTAATCTGATGTGTCCACGAACCGTTGCCATGATGATGCACATATTTCACTCAAAGCGAGCTTCAACCACGGCCTCTTTCGTTTTATTCACCTTCTTTCAGGCGAAGAATGGCATGCAAAGACATTAATAACAGTAAAATTTTGATTGTGGCTACAGGATCATCCATTTCTTCCCCAGTCAGACTTCCCCGATGTTACACCATCTTCACCGGGCGCGAGCGGCGTGACGCGACAAAATACAATGAGTTTCTATTGATTATAATCAGTGACGTTGTCTACACTGGATGCGGCGCAATTCGACACCTGTCGCGTCAGGT